GACACTGTTGGATAAACTTTGGGCATGACCTGCCAGGTTGGTGGTTCAAACCCACCAGTGCCTCTGCAGGGGAGTGTGAGGCTGTCCGGAATGCCCGATGGAGCCGCCATGAGCCAGAATCAGCCTGGTGCCTGTGGGCTTGCTTTGGATTTGCATATCGAAAACACCGTCAGCACTGCATGTTTATGGTTCATGGCCATTCGCAGGCCTATCCATGAAAGGCCACACCAGCTTTTAAAACCAGGGCTTTCCTACTGCCTTCTTGACCAGTCTTGGAGGCCAGCAGTGTGGGGCAGGTGGGACACTGTCCCAATGTGTGATGCTACGAGGTTTCTGGTGGGGTGGAACTGGGCCCTTGCTTCTGAACGCTGAAAGAATTCATGTGGCATGAACGCTTCTATGAACCCAAGTAACTTTCATGAGGGAGGAGGGAAGGTTTGGGTCTGACAGTTTCAGGAAGCATGCACTACCTATCCTGGATAGTGTGCCAGGCCGTACGGTGGGGGCCTGGGAAAGTTCTCGACTGAAAATGACCGCAGAGCACTAAAGACCACATGAAAGGAAGGCCGGACCAGACTCGAGGAACCAGCGTGTGGAACCAGGAGCAGGCAATCCCGACCTGGGCCTAGGTGGTTTGTGACTTTGGTCTGAGCATGCCCAGCTTTGGATGTGCCCACAGGTGTCTAACTAGGGTGCCTGATTTCCCTGCAACCCCCTCGATTGTGGCCTTGCCCTAGATTATCGCTAGAGCGGGCATTCCGGGCAGACAGCCCTCCTTTGTGCCCACTCTGCCCGCCTGTGATATGACACCCTCCAGTCACATCATTGGGGTTGAAGTCCGTTTCCTTCCTGACTTCTCAGCCACACGGACGGTGGCTGGCACCCTTCTGGGGGCACCCTCCACCTCCAGCTCCTTCACGGCCTGTCCGGTCCGCCTGCTTCTCGGATGCTCAGGGCTGGTCCTTGGTGGGCTCTCCTCAGTCCAGGCAACTGAGACCCTGAGCTCTAATGTCTCACCCTCCCAGACGCCCCCCTCCGCCTCTCCTGCTGGCGTCGTTAATGAGGAGCGGTTTGGGTCGTCGTCTTTCTTCTTTAAGCAAAGGGCTGCGTGAACTCAGTTTACCGAGTTCGTACAGGTGATGGTGCTTGGTGTGGTGGTACGGGCAATATTGAGCCAAGTGACTTAGTGGCCCCTGAATCTTTCTTTAAGAGAGGCTTATCGTTTGAAGGATGATGTATCGGTGAGGAAGATCGAAAAGAAACCGAGGACTCTCAGAACAAACACAGCTGTCTTGGAAGAAGGACAGCCGGAATGGTCCTCAGAAACACCTTTGGACTGAATTTCTGGGCACTAGGCGTGGGGTAAAAATGAGGCTTTCAGAGTTAGTCTCTGAAATGAGGCATTTTCAGAGTTAAGTCTCTAAAACTCTCAAGAGGCAGGTCCTTTTTCAAAAAATCATTTTGGGGGGGCCTCTTACAGCAATCCATACATCAATTGTATCAAACACATTTGTACATATGTTGCCATCATCCTTTTCAAAACATTTTCTTTCTGTTTGAGCCCTTGGTATCCGCTCCTCTCCGCCTGCCCACCCTCTCCTGACCTCCTTGATAAATCAAGGGGCAGCAGCTCTATTCTGTCCTGTAGGTCACTATGAGTTGGAATCAATTTGATGGCAGTGTGGTGGGGGGTTTTTTGTTTTGGTTTTAGATTTGCAGAAGTCTTCAGATAACAGTGAAAGCCCCAAATCCATATCCAGTCTCCGTAAGGTATGGATTAAGCCTCCGTTGAATTCCTTTGGACCATTATTAACTAGGAATGTGACCAGGCTTGCCCTCGGGCAGGTGCATGAGAAAGGGGCTTATGATCACTTCCCAATCAGGTCAGGGAGGGGCAGCCTCCCTTAGGGGGTTGCCTGCAGGTGTCCTGGATGGACACTGGAGTATTGGAGTCAAATGTCAAGAGTCTTGCCCTGAAGTCCTCGGTGGGAGGGCTCTGGACCATCTTGTAAACTGGTGTCTAGCAAAATACATGGGTCCTTCAGGAGCACTCTGCCATTACTTCTTCCAAGACAGATCAGGTTGTCTTTTGAGCATCCTTCAAGGCAAGAGTGGCAAGACTTCATCTGATACACTTTGGACATGCCGCCCGGACATTCTGTTTGGTAAAGTGGGAAAGGAAAGCCCATGGAGATGAATGGCTCTGGTTGCAACAACGGTCGCAAACAGAAGAGCAACGAGGCCGGGCCAGGGTGGCCAGGAGTTGGAACCAACAAATAAATAAATAACCCCAACACGGCGAGTTCGGATGTAATTGCCTTCTTGCTTGCTCATGCCAGGTGCCTGTAGTTCTCAGGACCCCCGCTGACCAGCCGGGTTTGTGGTGACCCAGTGGTCCTTCCTGCTGCTCTGCAGCCCCACATGCAGGGGGTGACGTCTCCACTGGGTGGCACCGAGGTAGGGTGGTTAGCAGACTGGCTTGACGTCTCCTTTTTTTTCTTGTTTTGTCTGTTGTTTTAGGACCTTAGAGAGAGCAAGAGCCCCCTGTAGGGAGAATACTGACATGAGCCTTGATTGTCCAAAAGAAGGACGTGATTAAGCATCGACTGTTGCAAGATTACTTGCTGAACACTGTCAGCTGAGCCCTGACCGGAAGCAACGTGGGATATGATCCATAGGGTTTCATAAAACACTGAAGGTAGAAAAAGGTGAGGAGACACCACAGGAGTTATAAGTAACAATGCTAATTACTCTCTCACGGCAAGGCAATTCAGGCTTACGGAGATCCCACAGGACGGAGTAGAACCGGCCCTGTGGGTTTCGGAGACTGCAAAACAGCCTTCTTTCTCATGGTGGCTTTGACTGCTGACCTTTAACCTACTCTGCCGCCAGGCCTCCAATCACTCATTATGATTGGATGAATGTGAGAAAGCAGTGGGGGGTGTGGGGAGGAGGGTCCTTAGGCAGGCAGCACTCCTTGTCTGCTGCTGGTTCACAGCTGTCCCTCCACACCTTGCCCTTGGACATTGGGTGGTCTAGCCCTAGGGGACTGAAGCCTTCTTCCCAGGGACTGACACTAAAATAAACCCGCGGCCGTCTAGTTGATTGACTTAGCGAACCAACTGCTCCATGGGTCTTTCAGGACCAGCGCACTGGTGTCCTCTGATCCTGGGTGTAGCCATGTTGGCATAGGCATCTAGTCTTTAAGGTTGCTCCCACCTCCTCACCCACCCACCCCTGCGGACAGCTTATGCTTCTTGGCTGGTTGCCTTCGGAGTCAAAGTCTGGCTCCTGGGAATGAGTCTCAAGGGTCGTCCTGGCTCCGGAGCTCCCAGTGGCAGCAACTGGGACCTCTGTTGCCCCAAAGCATCAGTGAACTTTTCTCTCTGCTGCACGCTGCTGCCCACAAGCGCTGCTCCCAAGACCCCTCCCTAAGAAACCCGTCGGCTGAGCTGGTTCCCCCGGAACCTGATGTAAGACATCAACCTTGTAACCAAGTTGCTGTCCTTCTTGTTTTATTTATTCAAAATAACCACAGCATCAGCCTGTTCCCGTCATCATGGAAACGGAGACCAGACACAGGCACGTCGGTGTTGTGACAGTGAAACACACTTGGCCACTAACTCAAGGACCAGCAGCTTGGACCTACTCGTCTGCTTCCATGACGACTCACAGCCTTGGCTAACTCTACAGGGCGGTTCTCTGCCCTACAAGGCTTTGTGGACGGCAATAGGCTTGGGTTTGCTCTTTGAAAAAGAACTTTATATTTACCCCAGCGCAACTGCCTCCTCTGCCCTAAAACAGCTCCCACGAACCCCACACGAGGATTCTTTGACATCTCACCATCTTGCCTGTATTCTTTGTAAAATCCCCTTTGTTTCCTAATTCAAACACAAACTGCAGGTGATGGTAGACATTCACGGCTGATTCTGTGTGGTAAGCATGTCCCCACACTAACGTGAAAGTGTTGTAGTAGAACAGCCTCAGGGACAGGGTTGGGGCTCGTCCACCTACATGGAACAGTGAGGTCAGAGGGTGTTCACGGCTTCCGATTCTAAGAGTGAGAATCTCCGAGAAAGTCCTAAATGTGCTTGTGATTTATGGCAGAGTGTTTGAGGCGCTTAATTCTTTCTGGGACTTTGCTCACTGGGAGGCTGGTGGTTTGGAATGGCTCACCTTGTGGTGCCCAGCCCATCGAACCACCATGACACCACCCAGGGCTTGTTAGTGTAGACCACATTACGTGTCTGCGTAATTGGAGCCAATGCTGCCCCTTCCAGCAGAGCAGGCCAGGCCACCCCCCTGAGCTCATAGCTCTTTCCGGTTTCTTCACTCTTGAGCCAGCTCCTGCTTCTTCACATCCCAGGTGTCATTAGCACGTCCTCCCCATGGGGAATTTAGAAAACACTGAAAGAGAAAACCCACTGCCACACAAAGCACCCCTTTAGAAATAACCACTGCTCACGCTTTGGCTAAAATTCTTTCTGATTTTTACTGTGCACACACATACTTAGCATGTTTTAAAGGTGGCCTTTACAATATAGATGGTTGCATTACCTGGTTTAGTGTGAACAATTTTTCCCTTGTCTTCTACAACAGTTAAAATACTTGCGTATAGAGAACTATAAGCTAAGCAATTTTTGTAGGGTAAATATAAATTACGATTTGTTTCACCAAGAGTTTTATTCTTATAATGCTTTGACGGGAAAACAAAACAAAACAAACAGAACAAAACATTGTCTTAGAGGAGGGAGTTTCAGCACTTTCATGGGAAAAGGAAATGTAAAGATAATGAGATTTTCCCAGGACTTTTGGGGGACCCCATTTGCATAGCTTGGGGTCTGCCAGTTTCTAGAGGTGGCAACTTGCCCTTCAATGTAGCTGAGTTTCTATGCCTTCTTCATCATCCAACAAGCACGTTCCCTTTCCTTCCACTTGCTTCCTCTCCCCCACCCCCACCCCTGCCCCCAGCACCCCTCTAGGACTCCTCCCTTCTATTAGAGCCGTTTTCTTTCCTTCTCTCTATTGATTTGGGCCAACTCTATGAAATCTTTTGCACACACACACACACACACACACACACCGCCCCCATTCCACATTAGGCAGAGTCTTAAACAATCTGAAGCCAGAAATCCTATGATTGAAGGGAAACATCGGTACCAGCCCCATTACAGAGCTGGAGGTATCGAGAAACATAGGGCCCAGGTACAAAGTATGGTCAATGTTAAAAAACAAAAAAGATTTTTGGGAATAAGGGTGAGTGAGACAGAGGCAAGGACATTCCTGGAAATTCATGATTTCAAGGCAATTAACAAATGATCACCTTTCAGTTACCGCAGGAGAGCAGCAGCCCTGACAGCCGTGACATGCCCACGACATCAGAGCGTGTCCGTTCAGAAAACAGCAAATGTCAACGGAGAGAGCAGCACAGAAAGGCAGGCGCCAGCTAGCACAAGAGGGGTGCGCGCAGGTGGCATGGATTCTGTGGTCCTGGAAGCTGCTGACTGCTCACCCATCACGTGGCCATCTGAAAAGTGGAGCGCCTGGTCATTATCCTGCTGCGTGAACCCAAGTATTGTGGCATAGTACAGTCAAAACATCAGGTGTGGCCCAACACTTAATGAGCAGATAGACAGACGTATGGGACCAGCAAGACCAACGGCGGGAGACTCGGACTCCCCTGCACAAAGGCGTCCAGCCAAGCTTGCCTTGCCCGTCGCCGACCCTGGAAGTCCACCTGTTTCCCTGCACCCCACGGAACAGTTTAATTCGGTTACGCATGGGGGTGCCATGGGCTGGACATCAAGTTGATGGCTACCGGATGGGGTTCATCTATCGCAGTTGGAGATGACTTCAACTGTAGGAGTCGGGCTGAACTTGTTAGGCTCTATTGTTAAGGGACAGCATATCTTAGGCCCCAAGTTCAGGGGCCAAAAAACCATGGTACCCACCCATCCAATCACTTACCCCACATTTACTCCACACCTGACCAATGGAAGCTAGAATCCTCATGGAGGGCGAAGAGCGCTCCATCAAATGCTGGCTCTCATTTGTTGGTTGTACTTGAGCCTTGTTTGCCAAGCACCCATAGGCCAGAACTTTGGAGGGAGTTGGGACTTGGGGAGTCCCTGGCAATCTGGCCAGGTTGGAATGGGGATTGCATCCTCTCTCCCCTGGTTTCTCTTCGAGGTCCCTGCTCTTCCTCAAATCAATATGGTCAAGAGATCAGTCACCAGGGGGCTTGTGCAGGGACTCTCCCCCTCACCCCCCAAATCCAAACTCACTGCCATCCAGTCTATGCCAGCTTATAGCGCCCCTAAAGGACAGGGTAGAACTGCCCCTTTGAATTTCAGAGACCGTAACTCTTGACAGGAATACAAAGGCCTGTCTCTGTTGCTTGGAAGCAGCCGGTGGTTTCGAAATGCCAAACTTGCAGATTGCAGCCCAATGCATAGCCGCTACACCACGGAGGCTCCTCGGGCTCATGAGCAAGTTTCTAAGGGAGGAGAGGGGGGCCCTGGGCACTGCTGGTGAGAAGGCTGTTCTGAAGGGGTCCTCCCAGAGTGTTGGGGCACCAGAGAGCGAGCGCTCGGTGGGATTTGAGAGAGAAAGTCTTTTCTTGGTTGTTCTCCAATAGATGTTAGCAGGTGACAAGGAAAACCAAGCCAGTTGCCATCAGATTGATTCCGCCTCCTGGTACTGCCACGTTTCTAAACAAAACCGTGCTCTGTGGTGGCTGTGGCCTCTCAGAAGTGCAGCTCCAGGCATTTTAGTTGGAAAAGGAGCATTTAGTCAGCCACACCTTGCAGGGGCTCCTCACAGCCTCTAACACTGTGGTTCTCAACCTTCCTCATGCTGCAACCCTTTCAGACCGCTCCTCATGTTGTGGTGACCCCCCAACCATAACATCATATGCATTGCTACTTCATCACTGTCATTTTGCTACCGAATCAGGTGACCCCTGTGAAAGGGCCATCCGACCCCCAAAGGGGTCCTGGTCCACAGGTTGAGAACCGCTGCTCTAACAGGATGCTAGCCAGACTAGGAGTCACTCTCCATCTGAAAGGGGCAACCATCCAGGATGCCTACGCGGCCACCCATCTGGAGGAGAGGCTTCCCCAGCAGAAGCTGGCATCTTCTGCAGGGAGGCTCCGGGCTCTGTCCACCCATGAGTGGGGCAGGAGGAAAGACCCTGTTAACGACGTGCTCACAGACAGCAAACGGACCGACCCGCGAGGGAAAGAGGACTATCCGCTTACCACAGCCAGGCAGGAAGGTCTGAGGAAGGCACCGGAGCCAGCCGTGCCAGCATTTGCACATAGAGCACTTCTTGGGCAGCCAGGTGTCATGGGGGACAGACCCGCAGTTCCTGAGAATGGACAGGTGAGGCTCCTCCTCCGTCCTCTCCAGCCCCCAGCCCCTCCGCTCCCCACCTCCAACCCCCGAATGGCTTACTCTCTGCGAACGTCATGCTCGCAGTTCCGCCCGAAGAAGTAGGGGGGGCAGGCGCAGAAGGACCCCAGCATGCAGGTGCCCCCATTCAGACAGCAGGTCTTGTTGAGCTCTCTACCTGAAAAGGCCCAGAGGACACTTCAGAATGTCATTTCCTCAGCATGTTTGTAGATGCCCCCAAATCTCAGACTACGTAGGAAGGCTCTTTAGGCATCCCCTTTGCTACCTATAAGGAGTCCTGGTAGTACAGTCAGGTTAAGGGCTGAGCTGTTAACCACAAAGCTGACGGGTCAAACTCCCCAGCCGCTCTGAGGGAGAAAGATGAGGCTGTCTGCTCCCATCGAGGCTTATAGCCCCGGAAACCCTGAGACGGATTGCTGTGAGTTGGAATCGACAGCAGGCAGTTTGGCAGTGGGGCTGGCCTGGTTATCCTTACCTTTGAGACAGAAATCTTTTTTGGGCACAGGGCGGCGTGGTTCTGGGGCCAGCAGCCCGCAGTGGAATCAGAGGAAGGAAGCTGCCCGCCAGAGGGATGAACTACATGGTGCCAGTCTCATCTGCATAACCCAAACCAGTCCCACAACCCACCTGCCAGAATGAAGTACCCACTCTCTCAGGTGGAAGTAAGAGCAGTCCAAAGTAACTCAAGGCACCCATATCAAAAAAGCACCTATGCTAAGGGCTGAAGTTAAAACTGCATTTTAAATCAAAAGTAGCCTCTTGGGTTGAGAAAGCTGCCTGCCATTTCTGTAACTGCACCGTCAACACCCCAAAAGAAATCCAAATTCACTGCTATTCAGTCAATTCCAACGTACAGTGGCCCTATAAGAACTGCCCGCCCATGGGGGTTTGAGGTCGTAAATCTTGACAGATGCAGAAAGCCTCATCTTTCTCTCACAGAGCGGCTGGTGGATTTGAACGGCTGACCTTGCAGATAACAAACAGCCCAGCCCATTCTGCCACCAGAGAAAATTACTTGGTAAGCAAAAAGGGCAATGTGATTTCACTGGCTAGCTTAAGAATACACCCTGCTCAGAAAAACAGGGTCAAAGTTAATTCTCAGAACCCTTGCTCACTCATTTGAGACCAACTCTAAGATTACTCATGTCCTGCTGATAGTCACGCCAAAGGGGTCTCAAGATGGTTTTTCAAGCCCAAACCAACCCGTGCAAACCCACTGCCATCAGCTGGATTCCTTCTCTTAGCAATGCCACATCGGTTTCTGAGGCCGTAATAAACCTGTACCTGAGAAGATGGCTTCATCTTTCTCAGCGTGGCTGGTGGTTGGGACACTGACGTTGAGGTTTTGAGGCCATGTACTCATATGCCCCACTTCACGATGGCCCTTTTAAAACCCATGGAACCCATCAGTCCTTTGTGGTGGTGATGGTCATTCACCGCTGTCAACTCATGCAGACCCTACTGACCCTGCAGAACAGGGTAGAACTGCCTGGTGGGTTTCTACTCTTGACAAGAGTGGAAAGCCTCATCTTTCTTCCTCAGGGCGGTTGGTGGGTTGGAACTGCTAAGAGCTCCATGCATACCCACTTTGCCAACAGAATTCCAATCTTAGGGTACTACTACCAACCAATCTTGTAACCTGTACCTAAATATCAACCAGCCAGTAAAAATTCTAAGTGAATTTCCATACTGTCTCACACACACACACTCTCTCTCTCTCTCTCTCTCTCTCTCTCTCTCCCCCCAAACTTCTTTGGATCACTGAGCTCAGAATCCTCCGGACTTTGTGCTTCCCTACCTGCAAATCGTCCTGCCTCTTAATAAAAGCTCTTTTCATTTCAACTGCTTTGTCCCGCCACGAGGGAAAGAGTCAAAAAGGCTCGCAGGGGTGGGAAGAATGGGGAATGGGAACAGGGAGGAATAAACAGGCCTTACTGTCCTGGATGCCTGTGAACGACATCAGCTGGTTCTTCGCGGAACGCCCAGTCTGAAGCCGAACGGATGGCTCCTCCGGGGAGCGAAGGCTGGCCTCTTTCAGCCAGGGGCCGGCGGCGTCCAATTGGCCCAAACCTTAAAGACAAAAGCCAATGCCTGGCGTCCGGGTTTTCTGACGCATGAACCGTTGGGGACCAAAAGGGCAAAATGTCTCTCACCGGCAGCGGCTCCCAGTTCAAAGGCCATGAAGAAAATCACGCTAGGAAGAAATCAGATGGTTGTCAACAAAACACAGCCCACAAAACTCTCTTAACGAACACTCAGAGGGAGGGCCACGTCCTTAGCGCCATAAAGAACGATGTTGGAAAAGGTGTCCCCTAAGGGCCACTTCTTTCCAGTACGCCTCCCTTGCTGTCCAGGCTCTGTCCTGGCCTATGTGCAGGTCATTGCAAGAAGTTACCCATCGGTGGGGCTCTAGTTCCCACAGTTCCCCTCCTCCATCAAGTTTCCAAACCAGATTTCTTTAATGGCTGCGACACTACACACGACTGAGGATCACCTGTTACAGATGATTTCATTCGAATCTATCTTTTTAAAAGTTTAGAGGTGGGGGAGGGAGGGAAGGAAGAGGAGCTGATACCTAGGGTTCCATAGGAAGCAAACGTCTGGCAAAGAATGATGGCAACCCATGTACAAATATGCTTCCTACAACTGATGTATGGGTTGTTATTGGCGTTATAAGAGTCCTCAAACAAATGATCTTTTATTTAAAATATTAAAAAATAAAAATAAACGTTTATAGGTTATTAAAACCTCCACCCCTCCCCCCGTTATACTCAACGGTGTTCCGAAGACAGCATCCGTCTACACTTCTAATCCAGAAGATTTGGGATTGGGTTGTAAAATTGGTTTGAGCATTCTAGAAAGGAAACTGCTAGCCGCTTCAAAGAACCGAACCTCAACCCCACTGCATTCCAAACCACAGTGACCCTTAAGGACAGAAGGGAACTGCTGCCCGTGGGCGTTCGAGGCTGTCGACTTCAGTGGGGGCAGCAAGTCCTATCCTTCTCCCTCCGATCGTTAGCAGCCCAACGCCTAGCTCAGTCGACCCCAGAGCTCCTTACGACGATGGAGACGTATAAAAAGCAACCGCAAAATTGGAAGGAACTGGGTGAGGTGCCCGGTCTTTGAGCTCACAGAGCAGCAGAGCCGTGACGCTCCGCGCGCGTCGAATGCAGCAGGTCGGAGGGCCGGACCGCCCTAGGATGATTTTTCCCCAAACCGGCGCTCCCGAGGAATCGGGAGAGCATACCTGGAAGAGAAGCGCGCCATCGTCCTGCGGTCCACAGCTCTTAACCATTCGATTAAGAGAAAAGGGGAAATCCCGGAGAAGAAGCAGGTTTCCCCAGGAGTCCGGACGTCCAGAGAAACCCGAGGCTGGTCACTTTCCGGCTCCAAGGAACGCTTTGACCTTGAGCCCGGGGGGAAACAAACAAGGACCCCCGGGGCGGCGGGGCAGCCTCTCTGGTGGGCTGGGGGTGGGGCGGGCCGGAGGCCGACGCCCATTACAAAGCCCAGACTTCCCGGGCGCGGAGGTGAGAGGCCTCGGGGAACCGACAAATCATGCAAGATAATAGAGAAGGCGGAGTCTTGTAAAAGCGGCCAACTAGCCCCGGGGTCCCCCGGGGTCGCTGGAGGAGGGTTAAGATGTCAGACTTGCTCTTGAAACCAAAGACACGCGCATTTCCCCATCAAGTTGATTCCAAAGTTGGAGGAGCAGTGGGAGGGAGGGAGTCCGGAAAACCTGAGCCCCAGGTACTGGGGGAGCAGGGAGGTCCCTCGAGGCGTTTGGTAGTTTATTGCCCCGATTCATTTCTTGGTGTTTGCTTTCACTCTCCCCCCCCACCGCCCCCCGAGAAAGGTGTGCGGAGCCCCGCCTTGCGGCCTGCACAGGTGTGCGCGCCGCCCGCAGGGGGCCGGGTCCTTGGGGGGCTGCAGGGTGTGGGGCGCGTGAGCGCTCTGACATGGGCCAGGAGAGGTCCCGGGGGTCCCCAGACCTGGTGTGCCCGTCAGTCCCCGGCTGGCCGGAAGCCGGAGGCGACGCCCGGTGCACCTGGGGGAGGTGCGAGTGTGCCGGGGCAGGGGGTGGGGAAGGCAAGCCGGGTGCCAGCCAGGCCTGCGCCCGAAAAATGTTCCAGAAACTTGGCAGATTTGCTCCAGGATCTTAGGACAGTCTCCTCCTCGCATCCGGAGAGCGGTTTCTGCGGCGGGGGAGCTCCGCGTTCTCTGGCACCGGGCAATTTACCCTGGAGTCACCGTGCCCTGTGCGCCCCTACCGCACAGCCCCGCGTCCCCCAGTTGGAGAGGGGAGCTGAAGCCCTCACCTCCTATCTCAGACCCCAGTCATCTGGGACTAAAGACATCTAAAGTCACGAGTAGCTTCGGAGTCCCATCCATTTGCCCCCACACCCCCCCATTCCAGTGGCTCCTGTGGGTCGGCTCTCATGGGGTTTTTAGGGGGGCAAGAATGCATCAGCCACATTCGAGGCCATGCCAGCGTCGCTGCCCCTACCTTTGTGCAAATGAGGGGACCGCAGGCGCCCAGAAGAGCCGTTATTTGCTCCTCCACCTGCATCTTGGGAGAATTCAATTTAGGATGGAGGGGGGGGAGGGCGGGGTGCTGGGGACCCAGCCTCCTCCCAGTCCTGGTGGGATGCAGCCGGGGTTGGTAAGGATTGACGTTCCCAGCGGAACAGCAGCAGCCGGTCTTCATTCCCGCGGCCTCTGCCGCTTCTTGTGTGGCCTTCCCACCTCACGACTTCAAGTCTCGTGCTGAGAAGTCCTTAAACGTTGGGGAGCAAAGATTTAAGAAGCCGGAAGTGGGGGAGGGCCCGGGAGCCTGGAGCTGGAAGACTTGGAGCAGTGGTTCTCCACCTTCCCAATGCCAACCCTTCGTACAGCTCCTCATGTGGTGGTGACCCCTAACCATCAAATTATTTTCGTTGCTACTTCATAACTGTCATTTTGCTACTGTTATGAATCGTCATGTGATAGCTGATAGGCAGGATGTATTTTCATTGTTACAAATTGAACATCATTAAAACATAATGAGTAATCACAAAACAATACATAATTATATATTGTGAAATATTTCTTTCTAATGACAAATAAATTAAATTTTGTCTTGAAGCATGGTGACAGTCTTCATGCTGGGTACTTGTATGTGGACCCGTACTTCGTGCATGTGGACGGACCCGTCTGGAGATAGAGGAGTGGTGTCTCAGTTCCTAAAACCATTGGAAAATATATATTTCCGATGGTTGTAGGCGACCCTGTGAAAGGGTCGTTCAACCCCTAAAGGGGTGGCGACCCACAGGTTGAGACTGCTGACTTAGAAACTACTTAATACCTTTCTAGGGCACTTCTCTGCGTCACCAGGTGCCCTGGTAGCGCTGTGGGTTAGGCTGTTGGGGACAGCGGCTCTGAGAGAGAAAGATGAGGCTTTCTGACCCCCTAACAGGTACCATCTCAGAAACAGGGTAGTAGGAATCAGAATCCGCTCCATCACCAGCGGCGGACTTGGCTCAGGCTCAGTTCTACATCACAATCCTCAACCATCCAATGTGCTAAGTAGATAAATTGAGTGACCTGATTAGTTCCGGCTTTATAGACAACTAATCCCATTTGGGGATTTGAATGTTGTGTGCAAGCGGCTGGGCAGGTCCGGGCAGAAACTGCAAGGGAGTGCCACCTCAGCTGTCACTTCCACATCTACAGGGGCTGCTGTGGCACTTGTAGAGTTCTTAAGGAGACAGCCTAGCACCAGCCACTGTACCGCCATTTTATTGACTGCTGAATGACCTGTCTCCTTCCCCCCCACCCCACCCCCATCTCGGAAAGTCCTGCTAACTGATTTTAGAGTATACGCTTATGTTCCCAAGATCAGGACATGGTAGTTAATCTTGTTATTTTTTTTAATATTATTCCTTTTGATATTGTAGCCATTAATCATTAATCTTATTATTTTTATTTTGTTAACCAGGATGTGATCATGAATCCTGCTGTTATGGTTTTATGACAGATGTGCCCTGCTTTAATCTAAAGAATGTTGCTCAGAAGTCCCTGATAAAGGGCTTTTTGCCTATATAAGCGGGTTATTATCTTCACTCGGGACTGCCATCTAAAGAATCGCTTTTGGATTCTTGCAGTCCGGTTAACCGAATAAAGACTCTTCCAAATTTCAAGACATGAATAGTGGCTGTCGTTTATTTGAACCCGCAGCACTTAAAACACAACCCCAAACTCACTGCTATCGCAGTCAGTTCTGACTCAGAGCGATCCTACAGGACAGAGTAGACCTGTCCGCTTTACAAAACAGAGAGCCTCGTCGTTCTCTTGCAGGGCGGCTGGGAGTTCCGAACAGCCTCCTGGAGACTAAGCATCCCGGCACTTACCTAACAGTGCCACCAGAGCTCCCTAGGGCCTCTAGAAATCACCTGCCCACTTTCAGAGGGAGGAGCCTACGTTCCAGGGTTGTGCTAAGTTCAGCTTTTCTGATGCCAACATTTCTGTCAAGAGATTTCTTGTCCTGGGGCCAGAATCCACTGCCATATCCCGAATCCAAAACAAAGGCAAAAGGGCCCGGGGAAGATGAAGCCTGGGCAAGGTTTTGAGAGCAGGAAGGGAGGAAAGCGGCATTCTCTCCGAGTTCCCCATCCAGCCTGGGAAGCACTGCTCACGTACTAGATAGAGAATCTACGACGTGTCCTGTCAAGGCCCGGACTTGGGGCGCACAGAGAAGTGACACCAGGGTATATATCGTAGGGGAGAAAGGAGACCCACCAAGGGCAGTAATTATGATAACCGCACAAAGCTGCTGCCACCGCTAGCTCCCTGGGGGAATTGAACCGAGACTTGGAGACAGCCGCGGATACCTCTGTTCAGTCCCTGATGAGAAGTGGCCGAGGGTGGCCAGGGAGCTCCGTGGGTCACAGACCCACGGGGAGCCAGGCCTGAGGATGAGATGCTGTTGGCCATTCCAACATTTTCCTACTGAAAGCTGGGGCGAGAGAGACAGAATTGTGCGCTCAACAATTGCACGAAAAAGCTGTTGACGTCCCACCCTCCAAGCAGCCAAGCGAGGGCTCAGGTGGGCCTGACGGAAGCCATGGTCTTCTTCCTGCCTCAGATGCATGTGAAAGTTGGACGTGGAATGAGGGAGACTGAAGAGGAATTGCTGCATTAGAAAGGGGGTGCTGGAGAAGACCATTGAGAATGTTGTGGGCCGCTAAAAGGACAGACCGGTCTGTCTTGGAAGAAGTATGGCCAGAGTGCTCCTTAGAGCATCTTAGATGCGCTGGACATATGGTCAGCGGAGACCAGGCCCTGGAGAAGGGCATCATGCTTGGTGCAGTGGAGATGGGAGGACGCTGTGGCTGCGTCAACGGGCTCTGACACAGGAACTATTGTGAGGATGGCGCAGGACGTGCGGTGTCTCCTTCCATTGAGCGTCGGGCCGCAGCCGACCCAGGGGCACCTAACAGCAATGACAGCAATGAGCGGAGAAGTGCGGAGCCAAAACCATCATGCTCAGACAGACTTCCGGTCCTCAAAGGCAAGGAAGAAAATACATTTGGCGAATGGGATGGCTGTTAGCTTTGAACAGCCAACTCAACCTTTTTTCAAGGATTAGAGGATATATCTACCCACGAGTAAAAAGAATTAAATCCCAACTAAAAAGCTGATCGAATTAGTAGCCATTTCTGCAACACAATGACAAGGTTTAACAAGGAAGCCTACACTTATCACAGCACTCCTAAGGACATCTAGTCTTTCACTGCTGCCATTGACCTTGGAACAGTCGGGCAGGTCAGAAGCCCGGAGAGTAGGGAAGCGAGGGGTGACTGGGGAATTCTGAATATATATACGCACATATTGAGGGTGAGTGGGGCCTCCCCCGATCTCATCAGGCTGTGCACCCAGCAGCTCCTTAGTAACACCCTCCCTGAAGTCCTTTGTCTCAAATGTGCCCTAGTCCATTTAACAAGTTAATGGCCTTCCGGTTTCACTGGTGAAATTAACAAATAAGGGCGGGAACTCTCTTCTGTATTTGCCACAGATCTCCGTGTGGGGTTTAAGAAAGGAGATTCCCGCTCTCAAACATCTGCCATCTCTGTGGGGAAGATGTGCACAGGGGTCCTTTCCGGGGCACACAGGCACAGGAATGGCGGAGGAGGGCGTGAGTGGGGTCTGTGAGGACCCCCCACCTCCTCCTCAAGAAAGCCTTTTCTTCTGCACCCACTTGATCAGGTGCCAGCTCAAAAGATGATGGTGGTGCTATCAATGGGGGTGCGGTTGTAGGGTCTGGTCACCTTCTGGGTGGTATTTTGGCAGCC